TAAAACACGACGTACGGATTGGGTTAAGTGGTGGCACAGAGTTCCCCACGTCGTATGGATACGATAGTAAAACACGACGCACGGATTGGGTTAACAGGTTTTGAACTGTCCACCCTCTACCCCTCAGTCACGTGCGGTAAGCCCCGGATGCCCCACGACGGTAACCCGGTGGGGCCGCTCAAGGACACCTACCTACAAGGGGCTAAAGTCGCCGTATCTTGCTCGGCCTACAAAGGGAACGAGGCCAACATCTACCTAGAGTGTACGGACACAGGCTGGGTGGGGCCCAGAGCCGCTTGTCCTGGTGAGTACATGTTGGAGTTGAGTCAGTTTATTTAGTGTCTTTTTTATTTATCTTTTTTTTTGACAAGCGTTTTGCGACGCTCGCAACTGCATTAGGTCATATGAGTGCGCGGGACCATTAAACATTTTCAGTTGGTTGGAAATTTTGTATTTTGCTCGGGTGGCGGCCGAAGCTTACTCATATTGATTTTAGACCACCAAGGGATCTTTAACATGCGCAACTTGCACACGGGGCCTCCGAGGTTTTTCGCCTTTTCCCGAGAAGGCTGGGTGTTATATCTTACCTTCCATAAGATCGAGGGTGTGGCTGAAAGACAGGTCAGTTTATTTAGTGTTTAAGGCCATTGACCCACATTGCATCATATAAAACACTGATTATAAAGTGTCCATAATGAAAATGTACAGGCTGTGCACTTATCTCTTATCAAGGGTCAAACATTGCATATTTCTGTCACTGGGCCGAGTCGGGTTGGGAGGAAGTAACAATTTCCTTTGATGGTAAAGAATGGACAAAAGAAAATAAAGCGAACTTCATTTTCAATTTCGTGTGAGTTGCACCTTATCTTATCTTATCTTATCTTATCTTATCTTATCTTATCTCATCAAAAGCTATGTAGAACTCTGGGTCTCCGGATGTTAGGTTCATACCAGACAGAACTGGAACAATTAACTCTTCTCTCCCCAACAGAATGCATGCCGGGGTGGCTTCCCTTCGACGACACTCGCTGTCTGTGGTTCTCGGAGGAGAAACTGACGAGACGGAAGGCGGAGGAACAGTGCAGGTACGCTGAGTTGTCGCTGTCAGTGAAGATTTAACCATACATACAACCTGAAACAAAAACGTTTTCTAACAACACAAAAAAACAACAACAAAACATCTATGCTATTGCTGATCGACACCCTGCAGCACCCAGCTTTTGAGCAATGATTATCTTATTTTGCCCAAAGAAACACCCCCAAGTGGCCACCAATCTGAACACTGAGCCAACCACAGACCCTTGAGTCTGAGCTCACTAACCACTCGACCAATGGTAGGACGATAGATCTACTGGCAATCAAAACCCGGTGTTCATTGGTCGCTGCTTTCTGTGTCTCACTCAAGGACACTTCTCCTCGTATCCACATGACCAGCCAGCCAACCCCTGGTCTTTGGCACAGCTTGGCAATATTATTCTTATTTCTTAACAGCTGTAAGATCACTATTCATTGGATAAATTTTCTATTCACTATCGAAACAGTTTAAATCATTAAAAAAATACATTTCTCATTTTGTCAGCATACTTCCCATATGAATGACACTCAAGCAGTACCGGAGACTTAGATTGAAATGAATTGTTCTATATATTAGGACGTATTATCCCACAGAGCCCAGTTTGGCAGGACCGAAGCAATGTATCTTAAATGTGACGTAAAACATTTATAACGAGCCTCTCTTCTCCCCGAGCAGGTCATTCGGACACAGAGGTACCCTGGTGGAGATTCACTCCGCCCAGGACCAGGAGAGAGTCAGGGAAATCAGGAGTGGGAAAGGATGGAAGTGAGTCAACCATGATTTGTCAGCAACATGTCGGCGTGCCTGAGAAAAGGGTCCAAACGAGTATTTTTTAAATAACTTTTGTAGTTTATTGCTTTAATTCTGTATAGAATAGCTTTTCCTGGTGCATTCTTTAAATACAAGTTTCAGATATCTGAGATAGTTTTTGAGATAATGGTCACGTTTGTGAGTGAGGGGTGTGCATCAACTACTTTTGAGAAAAATGTAAAAGAATCAACGCTACGAAATGGCTATGTAGTTTTTAAAGTTTTGAAAATAATACTTAGAAGAAGAATTGGCGTGAACTATTTCTTTCGGGTGGAGAAAAATGATCAATGAGTTGATATCCCTACGGGTCTCAAATATCCGGAAAAAAATGATTTTTCACTATATACCGAATACACACACACACACACACACACACACACACATACACACACACACACACACACACATACACACACACACACTCACACACACACACACACATACACACACACACACACACATACACACACACACACACACACACACACACACACAAACACTCAAACAATGTCCTCGTCCTCAGATACACCCACGCAGTCTGGCTGAGCGGGGAGATCAAACAATGGGACTTCACCGGCTCTCACGAGATCCTCCCGTTCCAGAACTTCTCAAAGGCAGACAGTAAGTTCGCCTTTGGTTGCTTTTAAGGACAAGCGGGGTAACCCAGATTTCGGGGGTTTCCAGAAATCTTGACCTACACCAAAAGTGGGCATTGCTCTACCTATAGGAGAAGTTTGGTTTTAGAGAAAACTCTCCTTGTCTTTTAAAGAAACTAAACAAGGGGCATAAAACTGTTCCTTCGATTTTCTCAAAAGAGCATTTTTTGGGATCGCCCCCTTGTGCTTAAAAGATTCCATTTATTATAGTCGCTATTTATACTTTTGCCTCCTCACGATTCTACTCGACCTTTTCTCAAAGTCAGTCAGGAAGTTCACGTGTATCGTAGTCGCCGTTTATACTTTAGCCTACTCACGATTCAACTCGATCTCTTCTCCAATTTTAGAACATTTTTTAATAAAGTAAAATTATATATTCAAAAGCACGAATACCCATATTATTTTGGTCTAGAATTATTTTTTTTTGCGCTGTAGTGTAGCTTCTTCACTCTTTTTTCAGGAAATGTATTCTTTTTATTTTCTCAGATGTTAAATGATAACTTTATGGTCAATATCTGTTTCCTGATGTAGGGTTGTGAGTAACTGATCTATTCTTGACCGACCCTAAAATGTCACTATACATAAAATGAATTTTTTTTCTCTCAAAGCTAAAAGTAGATTGAATGACGTACGACATGAGCTTGTATAATGTTTTAATTTTTTTTAAACCAGCGAAATGACTTTGACCTATATCTTAAATGACCTGTTTCAAATTCTTTTGACTAAAAATTGCAACAAGAGGTACCAACTCTCGATGATCTTCGTCCCACTAACCTCCATCCCTTTATCCCCAACCCTCCCGCTCCACCCATACACACACATTTCCACTGTACCCACTCCAACTGATCCCCCCCCCCTCTCTCTCTCTCTCTCTCTCTCCTTCTCTCCCCCCCTCTGTTTCGGCCTCCCACCCTCTCTCTCTCTCTCTCCTCCTCTCCCTCTCTGTTTCGACCACCCCCCTTCTCTCACCCTCCCTCCCCTCCCCTCCTCACCCCCACTAGCGGCCAACATGTGTGTCCGTATGATCGCCGAGTATTACCCAGACCGCGGCGGTTGGAAGATGGTACCTTGTGACGGAGCAAACAAGGAGCTCTACATCTGTCAGATGGAGAAAATGGGTGAGAGAGACAGACGATTGGAGAGGGGGGCGGGGGGAGGGGAGTGAGGGGAAGATAGGAGATGGGGGAGGGAGACAGACGGTTGGAGTTTAGTTTTAGGAAGGTTTTACGACGCTCACAACTGCATAAGGTCATGTGAGCGCCAAGGGGCGGATGTCAACAGAGAAGTCCAAACAGGAAATCAGACTTACTCTGCTCACCTGTCTAGCCTTAACAGCACAAAGTCTGCTTCGACAATCAAGGCACCCCGGAAATAGCAGGTCACAAGAGAGTGACAAACATACAAAAGACGTAGAGGAAAAAATAACGATAGTAAGGATAAGGAAAGAAAAAGCAGCAGTTCCCCCTATGTTGTTCCGGCACAGTATGAGCACCACATTGATAAATCAGCCCATTTACAATTCTACTGAGCCTAAGAACGTGTTACTATCCCCCCTTTGGGAGTGGCCTAAAGACACCCCAGTCAGTGGCATTGCCCTGGTAGAGGGGGGGGGGGGGGGTAGGGAGAGGGGGAGAGAGAATGAAGGGAGATGGGGAGACAGGATGGAGGGAAAGAGGAGAGATAGAAGAGAAGGATAGATAAGATAACATAACTTTTAATCTTGTCCAGATCCTGGCATATTGGTTTGGTGTGTCATGACGTACATGTATACACACAAATTTATCAATAATTGCTAACAATAATAGTGCCAAGTTAGACACATAATCTGTATTCTGTTTGTAGCTCAATGATATCCTGATTTTGCTTGATTTAAGTGTCATAGGACTACTTATATTACCCGATGATTCAACATGGCAGAGAAAAAGGAATTGAACACTTGCCTACGTAATGTAGGTGTGTGTGTGTGTGTGTGTGTGTGTGTGTGT